ACACCGGCCACCCACTTCACAGCTCCTCTCCACTTTGGTCCCCTCTATCCTGTGCAGAACGTTCCGGGCAGCACAGGGTCCCCACTCCTCCAGGGCTCCTCTCCCTCTCCCGAGGGGCTTCCCCCTCCTTTCCCAAAGCAGAAGCTCCAGGCAGTTCAGCTGCACGCTCCCCTGGGTGTTGCTCTCCCTGTAGTGTGAACGGAAGCCCTCTGCAGGAGGAAGGGGTGGGTGGAAGAGGGCGTCGTCATAGTGGGAGTCACGGCAATAGTCAGAACTACCATTTTTCCAGTGCTTCCTGTATGCGAAGCTCTTCCCGTTTGTCAACTCATTTAGCCCTCACAACAACTTGATGGAGGGAGTGGTGGCATTTTCATTTTGCAGGAGAAACGGAGGCCCAGAGAGCTTATGTCACTTGCTGCAGACAGCAGGCGAGCCGTGATCCTCATCTAGCCGGCCCCAGAGCCCATGCCTTTCCTCTGCCCTCGCGGCAGTAGCTCGGCTCTCTCTGGAGGCATCTGCATTTTAATGGTGGTCTCTTCCATTTCTAGGATGCTACGGTTGGCAAAGCTGCCTGTGTGTCCCCCTGGAGCTTCCCAGGCATGGGGCAGGGTGACTTCCACCCTGTCCAAGGACCAGGAGGTTCAGTGACTTGTGTGCAGGTTACAAGGCAAGAAAAGTGGCCTCAGCCCCGGAACTCTGCTCTGATGAGGCTAGGCCGTGTGTACCACTCCCCTTTCTAAAACCAGCAAAGCTTCCCCGATGCCGGGACTTGCAAAGCCGACAGCAGATGCCTCCTTTCACCTCTGCACCTGCATCTTATACCCCCTCTCCCTGCCACTCCTCTCCCTTCAGCTACATCTGTCTCATCTTAGCCCTTAACTTCTCTACAATGCCTCCCACCTGTGGTACCTTACAACCAGAACCCTCTTTTCTGTGTCTTCCCTTGAACTGCAAGAATAGAGAAATCTCAGTTCAGCAATACCCACCCCCCTGTTTTGTTTTGTTTTGTTTCCTTTGTATGGATCACAATGAGTAATTACATGTTTAGGTCATTTTTCACATTCTCTGGTAGAATCTATAAAGGAGATGCTTTCGAATTGTTTCCTTTGTTACTTTTGACATTGACAAATTCCTAATAGGGGACCTAGTAAGGAGCAAGGCCCCTGAACAGGGGAAGGGAGGATACAGAGAGGAAGACATCATGGCTGTTGCCTTCGGAAAGCTTGCCGCTAGTGAAGAGTGAACTTGTACGAGCAAGTATGACCACAAGCAGGATGAATCAGGCCAAATGCTCTCAAGGAGTTGGTAGTGGGGGAGCCTAGAGGAATTGCCATACATTCAGAGGTGATCAGAATAGCAAGGAAGCTTTCGTTGTAGAGGCGCCCATGCTTTGATGGGTGAAGAGAATTTCAGCTGAAAAGGGGAAGGGCATTGTAGGCTGAGAGAGTACAGAATAAGGCACACAATTGCTTACAGATCCAGCAAATCAGAATGGCAAAGAGGCTTATTATTTCCTGAAACCCCTGTGAATGCAGGCACCAGAATGTGAGCCTTACAGCTTTAGGGATTTGGGCCAGTTTTATTCATTGCTATATTCCTGGCTCCTATAAAGTTCCAGGTAGCACTTTGGTAGGTGCTCAATGAACACTTATTGAATGAATTGGGTAGATAATCATTGCTTCCATTTTACAATTGAGAAAATGCACGGAGAAGTGGATCAAGGCTACGCAGAACCAGGACTTTAAGTGGGAGAGACAATATATTAAGAAAATATGGGAAAATATATTTTATAACGATGGAAGTGAGGAAGGCCCTTTAAAGCATACCGTGGAGGCTATGTAGAAAGGCAAAAATCAACATATTTGGTTACAAAAATGTTTTAGAAGTTAGTCTGCCAAAAAAAAAAATCATTAACAAGGTTGAACAAGAATTAGATGATGTAGTGATATTTAATATGATAAAAAATAATGTTGCTATGCTTGATATGTAAAGAGCACTCATGAATCAATAGAAAAAGTACACATCCCAATAGAAAAATGGACAGATACCATGAAGCAGCAGTTCACAAAAGTATAAATCAAAATAACCAAATAAAATATAAGTGTATATACATATATATTCACTTCACAAGAAATAAAAATGTAAATATAAACAGCATGATATTCTTTTAGATAGATGCTGACAAAGTACAATGTTGGTCTAAGGAAGCAGGTACTCTCATACACTCTTCGTATTATAAGAAAATAAATTGGTATGGTCTTGCTGGAAAGCAGTCTAGCAATGTATTCTAAAATGTCAAATGAGTATACTTTTTTATTAAGGACTTTAGCTATTCTAAGAAAATAATCAAACGGTTCTATCAAAATGTCTTTACAAGTAATTCTTACAGTATTCTCTATAACATAATGAAAATTTGGAAATCAATATCTATCAAAAAGGGATTAGTTAAATAAATTATGATATCTATACATAGATTTCTGTGCAGGTATTACATAGCCTGGCATATAGTAGGGGTTGGCAAACTCTGGCTCGCAGGCCAAATCCAGCCCACTGACTGTTTTTGTTAATAAAGTTTTACTGGCACACAGCAACACCCACTAACTGGTGTATTTCTACAGCTGCTCTTACACTATGGTGACAGAGTTGAGTATTTGCAACAGAAACCAAATGGCCCAGAGGCCTAAAATATTTATTATCCATCCCTTTACGAAACCGTTTGCTGATCCCTGATACATAGATATATTCATTGACATGGAAAGCTCTCTGTAGCATATTATTGAGTCATAAAAGCAGGGTACAAAAATCACATGCATAGTGTGTTTCTGTTATAAAAAATCATGTGGTCATGGGGAAGGGGCAAAAAAAGGACAAGGACCGTAAAACTTAAAGAATGTATTTTTAGGAGGGATGACTTCAATTATGTTTACCAAAACGTAGTGGGTTACGTGCGAGTTGTGAGATGTTAGGTGATTTTTCCTTATCCTCTTTATATTTTTCTATAATTCCTAAGTGTCTAGAAGGGATTTGTATAAGTGGAATGGATAAGCGGCCATTATCTTTGTTATATAGAGGTGTTATAAATTGTTACAATTTTGGACATAGTTTGGCAAAGTCTTAACAGGTTTTAATACACACCTTGAATGTACATACTAACGTGCACCTTGAAACAGTCATTTCACATTTCGGAATCTGCACTTCTAAAGAAATAGCCTTCCATTTGGGAAAAACCACATACACCGAGTTGTCAAGCAGTGTAAACTGTTTTTTGATTCCACGCTAAGTGGAGTCGAACATAAATCCCCACGTGTGGCAGACATCTCTGAAGGTCAACAGCAAGTGCCCCTGAGGCTGGGGAACAGTTGACATCCTCATACGTGGCTGGTGGGACCGCACAGCAACCACTCTGGAGAACAGGTTGTCAGTTTCTTGAAGTTCAATGTATCCTTATATGTGAGACCCAACCATTATGGTCACACAAAACCTGTATGTGACTGGGGCGCCTGGGTGGCTCAGTCGTTAAGCGTCTGCCTTCAGCTCAGGTCATGATCCCAGGGTCCTGGGATCGAGCCCCGCATCGGGCTCCCTGCTCCGCGGGAAGCCTGCTTCTCCCTCTCCCACTCCCCCTGCTTGTGTTCCCTCTCTCGCTGTGTCTCTCTCTGTCAAATAAATAAAAATCTTTAAAAAAAAAAAAAAAAACCTGTATGTGACTATTTATAACACACCTATTCATAATGGTCAAACACTGCAGACAACACGAATGCTCTCCGAAGGAAGGGTAGGAACACAAAGTGTGAGACGTCCGTAGAGTGGGCTACCACTGAGTAATCCAAAGCAACATGCTCTTGGTGCCCACGACAACTTAAAGGCACCATGTTGAGTGAAAGAAGGCAGTCTCCGAAGCTGACACACCGTGTGACCCCATTTATATGGCCTTCTTGAAAACACAAGATTAAAGAGAGAGCAGATGAGGGTTTGCCAAGTTCTAGGCCTTGGGGAGAGAGTGGGACTCGAAAGAGAGAGCACAGGGTTTTTTTGTTTGTTTGTTTGTTTTTGAGATGATGGAACGGTTTTGGATCGTGATTGTGGTGGTGGTTACATAGATCTCTGTATGTATTATAATTCATACAACACCAAAAAAAGAGTCAGTTTTACTATATGTTCATGTAAAAAATAAAATTAAATATGTATAGGAAAAACCGGAAGATAATACACAAAAACCCCAATATAATTTGTTTAGCCTGGTGGTATTATGGGCAACTCTATTTTTTTTATTTTTCCTATTTTGCATGAATAGATTACTTTTATAATTAGAATAATACACTAACAAGCAAACCAATCCAGGAACTCTAAGATCATAGTAGTGTATGAAGTTTGGGAAGGGAACAGGGGAGCCCTTCATTCAGCAGTCGTTATCTGAAGGCACTGTGCGTTCTGGGTCATCGGGGGCAGCTCAAAATGATGGCCATGAGTCTGTTCATGAAATCCATAGTTATGCAGTTTGCTTTAGAAAGTGGAAGTAATAATAGAGTTTTTGTTTCTTTAAAAGCCTCCTTTATTGGAAAATTTACTTTTGTAAAACTCCCCATTCACCTTTGCTGCCAAATATATGAGGTTGCGTCATAAGGGCAATTATAACCCCATGTAAACATGCATTATCCTATTTGTTCTACAAACCCCGGGGAAGCCGAGTAGGGTTGTGTACGCTCTTCTGTTTGCAAAAAGGAAATCCAGGTACAGAAACTGCCGGGTAGTCAGCATGACAATAAAAATTCCATTTGCTTTAACTTTTCTCCCCAGAGGCAGACTGTATATTTTTTTTGTAGCTTGCCAATAATGATATAAAAGGTAATATTATCATACTGTCTTCCCTTGAGAATTTCCTGGGCATGGTTAGAAATGAAATAAATGTCGTATGCCTTGAGAGAAAAAGTATTTGTTTTTCCACTGAAAATTCACTAGTACTGTGTAATGAAATGCTCTCCTCTGTTTTTTTTTTTTAGGATTTTATATTGCACCCTGATTCTGCCTCTGCATTATCTTGAGCCTTTCTTTTCATACATCTTCCTCAACCTCCAGCTCATGGTCCTGCAAGTCCTTCACCTTTACTGGTGTTACTTCATCCTGAAAATGCTCAGAAGATGTTTATTCATGAAGGTAAGGGCTGCCTGAGTCTTGCTGCTCTAGGCAGGTGAATTTCATTGACAGATTGAAGGTGATGCCCAGACGATGGAACGCTCTAGTTAATTTGGAGTTAACTAGAATTCCTTTTTTTCCCTTGATTTGATCATGACTGATAAAAATGTATCTAAAATGTAAAATGTAAAACCCTAAAATGTTTTTCTTTAGGGTAAGTTCTCTAAAGTGCTTTTAGGAAATTGTTTTTGTTAGAGGACAAGTCATTTTTATAAAACTTTTATCCAAAAATTGATTGTTGCTTTTTATTTTTATTTTTTAAGATTTTATTTATTTATTTGAGAGAGAGACAGACAGAGAGAGATAGTGAGAAGAGAGCATGAGCGGGGAGGAGAGAGAGAAGCAGGCTCCTGCTGAGCAGGAAGCCCGATGTGGGACTCGATCCCAGGACCCTGGGATCATGACCTGAGCCCAAGGCAGACGCTTAACCGACTGAGCCACCCAGGCGCCCCCTGATTGTTGCTTTTTAAAGAATGTCCTAATGAGTTTAAATTTGCTCTAGTTTGAGACAAGCTTTATTGTGATAGTGGAGTAGTATTTCAGAGCCTTAGGTTTACCTTCACTGAGCACCCAGTTTGCACGTGATGCTCTCTCCCTGAGCCTTCTCCTACCATCTGAAATATTGTCCGTCAATTGGCTATGCTTTTTTCCTGAAAACAGCTTCTTCTCTAAATAGTAACATATTAATAATACATTTTAGACAATAGAAGTTTTTTGTTTGTTTGTTTTGAATTCTGTTCTGGGTTTTAATTCCAGAACAAAGGTAAGGAGGGCTTCAGAAATGAGTAAGACACAAAACACTGCCTTTGGGGAAACAACCCAACATCTGGGGGGGAATATTCACCTACTAGCAACTACCTATATTGTGCTAAAGAGACATCCCATAAACTTGCTGTGGAAGACAGAAACCAGTTGACTCAAGGTCCGGCCAGGGAACGTTATCGAATGGATGGAATTTGACTTGAGCCTTGAAGGCAAGTAAAAAAAAAAAAATCACAGCTCCTTCTTTGTCAGTAAATCATACTTCTAAGGGAGTTTTAATTAAGGATCTTTCGAGGTGGAAGTTACAGCGGGCCCATTTTCAAGTGCTACCATCCATGTATACACAACACTGTATCATCAGAGGGAGTGGCTCGTATGTAACAGGTATGGCGGTAATTTACCTGATAAGCTCATGTTCTGATCAACTGTCAGATTAATTCATTTTCCTACTTTGGTAAATGACTGTTCAAGAATTGACAAATGAAATGGACATTATGATAACTGACCTCTGGGTTTTCTACCATCTCCTAGCTTCTAGATCTAGACAGAGGTATAGGGAGTTGGGCTACATCTGGATTGATCGCAAACCAAATTCGGAAAGTAGTTTTTGTTTGCTGGTTTTACTAAATGACTGACTTGAGCTTGCTTTCTTGGGAGCGGACTCTCCTCCCTTAAAAAGTCAGCGTGCCAAGAAAAAAACGCTTTCATCGAATGGTTCTAGCTTATTAATATTCTAAATAGTTTTCTCATGACCTATGCAACAGTTATTTTACCTCTGAGTGACTGATAAAGTTGAAGTGAGTGCGATAAGGTTAAAAAGTCGAGCAGTTAGACCCTTTGCACATCGAGGGCTTGGAGGGAAGGAAGGGCGCTGAACTGAGCCTGTCCCACCCCTGGGTCGAGCCTTCCTGGAGTGCCCATCTCCCTAGCCAGAAACTATTCCCTTAATCACTGGTGAGTGACAATAATTACAGGCTGGAAGGGAGCCAGGCTGAACAAAACTTGGAGACCAGAGGATACTCTTGTTTGGTTTTAGCAGCATCATGTTCATATTTCTGATCTCTAATGGGTTGTACCAGGCCTGATTAAAAACCCAGTGGGTTGGGGAGCCGTGGACAGGAATTCCCGATTCCTCATGCCGTACTTTGGAAAAGCTGTTTCCCATTTCCATTTGATAGCAGTAGTAGAGGCCCCCGCAGCCCTAATCCCTGCAGTTCGTATGACTTCAGCTGGCTTGCATGTGCACTCTGTTTTCCATAGCAGTGGCAAAACTGGCTGTGAAATCAGCTTATTCCTCCAAGCCGTAAAGCTGCCTTTTAAAGAATGCTATTTGAAGGCACCGTTGCATTGCAAAGGGGAGGAGACAGATAAAGGCGGGAGTTGACACTCTTAGAGGAGCACCGAACAAGACCGTTTTCAACTCTACTTAATGACTCGTTAGCATTTAATATACACGCCTCAATTGTTACTAAGGTGACGCGTTCTTGGATATTTAGAAAATGGGACTGCCGAAGTTCTTAGGCCTCTTAAAATGTCTTTCAAATCTTGTAACAGAGATTGGGAATTTGTCTTTTTAGGTTCCTTATGCCTGGTAGGCCCTTAAGAAGTAGTTTCGAAGATGCAAATGAATACAGATCACACCAGGGTGGGAAGTTACAAGATTATTTATTAATCTTTTCTCTGGTCTCCATAGATTTGCATGGTAGACTGGAAAGACAAAAGTGACTATACATCTTAAAAATAGCGCTTGTTGAAATATCCACACCTTATTTTCCTTCGACAGTGGGGTTACTGTGTGCCTATGGCGAATGAGGACCTTCTACCATTTGCTTCTGTTAATACCTTAAAATAACAATATCCCTATAATTTCAGGATTCTGACATAGTGGTTAGCAGGCACTGATGAAACTGAGCTGGTTCCTATAAAATGGGGGGATTTTGTGCGGGACTCCCAGCTCACACCTCCCATCAGGAAGTATGATGGGCTGAGATATTTGTCTTGTCATTCTCTTTGCAAACATGAGAAGTGCTTTCAGAGGAAATTAGGAGGGTGGCATGCTCTCGTTTAATATTACTTAAGAGAATGTGATCATCCCTACGCTTTTATTTTCTTCTTCCTAAATATCACACTGGGTGCTGGCCAACTCAAGTATGTCTCTTTGACATCTCAGGCTGGTGTGCAGCCAAGACACGGAGGGCAGGGCCGAGCGTGCAGCCATTACAGCCCAGAGCTGGGATGGAACGACTAGCCCCTGGCAACCTGCCCCAGCCATCTGCTCTGGACAGGCAGTGTCTCTGAAGTTCACAGATGACACTTGACACACACTCAACTCTTTTAGCTAAAGAAAGGAGGACCCTTCTCATAAATCGGAGAAATCTGAGGCCTCAACCAAATTCGCACAGTAAGTTTGTGGCAAAGCTCGAACGTGAGTCTCTTCGCTTGCAATACTTTGCCTTTTCTAATTAACCATTGATCTGAAATAGCCAGAAAATTGATTGAAAAAACTGGCACGGAGTAAGAAAGAATCCATAAACAACTTGAGTAATCAAGGTAGTGGAAGAAAACACAGCACAAATTCTTTAGCTTGTTTCTGAACTTTCTAAAAATATAAGAAAATGTTTCAGAATTCTTTTTTCAGTTTCAGAGCACTTCCTAGTAAAGCAAGTCCGGAATAGCCAAGAGTACAGGCTTTCCCGTTTGCTGGCTGTGTGATCTGAGGCATATTACTTCCATTTACTGCCTCAGTTTCTCCACCTGTAAATTGGGGATGATGATATTAACACCCGCCTTGTAGGAGAAAGCTGTCAGAACAGGACCTGGCACACAGCAAGCACATGGGAAGGTTGGCTGCCATTACCATTATTCCTATTCACTCAGGTTCTTTGTGGCAAGTCACAGAGAGGCTGTGACTTCCAGGTCGCCTGGCAGTTGGGCGTCAGTCATGCCCTCCCTCCCTTCCGCTTAGATAATGCTGCAGCTGAGTCAGGTGTCCGTCCACGGGCGCCCATGACTGTTTGCTAAGCTGTCTTCGGTCAGTTAATTTGCGTGACTCACATTCTGATGATCCTTTTTGACACTCTCTCAGATATCAGTGTGTTAGTGAAGAAATACAAAATCTGTAACATCCAGCAAACCTCCAGGTCTCTTTTGTTAGTAGTTAATAGTGGATCTAAAAACTGCCCTTTGCTAAACAAGAGATAAAAATATCACAAGGGCTGGCAGTTAAAATAGAGTATTATAAAAATGCTATCAATTTGGGGCACCTGGGTGGCTCAGTCGGTTAAGTGTATGACTCTTGGTTTCAGCTCAGGTCATGATCTCAGGGTCATGAGATCGAGCTTTGTGCAGGGCTTGCGCTCAGCAGGGAATCTGCTTGTCTCTCTCCCTACCTCCTGACTCCCCCCAACTCGCTCTCGCATGCTCACACACACACTCTTGCTCTCTCTCAAACAAATAAATAAGTAAAATCTTTTTAAGAATGCTATCGGTTTATATTTCTATATTTCCAAATATTTATACAGGTTAACTGCTTTAACAATCTATTGAAGAAACAACAGTGGAGTTTATAAACTTGTAACAAGTAACTGTGCAAAGTTGCTCAGTGTAAAGAATTCCAGATTTGAATATTCTTCCACACTGTACATTCAGCCGAGCCACAAAATAGACTTTCAGAACTGGCAGAGACCCCTGAATATCCACCAGGACAGCATGGCCCCCCTCCTCAAGGCCTTCCTACTGCACCACAGTGCACTGCTCACTTGTACATAAAACTGCTATTTCCCAGAGGAAGAGAGGGGGCTGAGTGAAGAAGTTACATGACTTACCCAAGGTCACACAGGAGTGGGTTTCATGCCTGCAAAGCCCGAGACTTCACAGGCTATGTTGCTAATGCTATGCTCCTCTTCCTCCCCAGTAGCTCTGTGTCCTCCAAACATGAGTGATATGCATTTAATGTGTGTATGTTTATCTGTGTTTCTCCATGTGTGAGTTTAGTGTGATGTAGGCTCAGCTCTCACACACTTCATCATCTTTTTGTTTCCTGTTCAGTGAGTTTTAATAAATGTATAGAGCATGCAATCATTACTCTGTTAAAATGTAGAACATTTCCATGACCCTATAAAGATCTTAGTGCCTATGTCTGGTCATCACCCATTCCCACATTGGCAACCACTGTTCTTACTTCCATTCCCATAGATTAG